TTAGGGTTGGGAGGAGAAGGATTGCGAGGATTTTTTAAGTCACGGATTTCTTGTCTTAAACCGTTGATTTCTTGCTGCAATTGAGTAATTTTAGCGGAATTATTATTATTTTTTTGGTTCGGTTGTTGACTTGGATCTTGCTGATTTGGTCCTTTTTGATTTGGTTGCTGATTACCATTGGGATTGGCCACAATTTGTTTATAAATTTCTTCCTCGGCTTCTTTCCCTAGTTTGTTTAACTCCTCGTCACCAATTACCTTACGAACTTTGTCTGCGAAAAAATGTTCAAGTTTTTTTTCTTTCTCGCTTATGCTCTCCATTAGAGATTTATTTTGAGGGCTTTTCATAAAAGCCTCTTCCGCTCGGCGGTTAAATTCCGGATCACAAACCGAACAAAGTAAAAGTCAATCAATATGGTCTTGTTTTCCGCCTTTTTCCGCCAAAAAGTCCGCCAGAAATTTTTCAGCTTTCGTAATTAATTCTTGCTCGTTGGCATTTAACTTTAACTGGGGTAATAATTGGTCAAATTCAGTTCGAAATTGAACTGGAAGTTTATCTCGTATTATGGTAGCCCCCCGGTATAGATATTTTTTTTTCATCAATGAAGGATAGAATTCTAATGTTTTATCTTCTTGTGGTTCGGTTTGTCGGCAAGCCGAGCAAATGTACCGTTCTTTCCTTTCCTCGCAACTTTGGCATGAGGTGCCTTTTTCTACTGGATTGCTACAATCAAAAAATCCGCATTTTCTTGTCATATTAATTAATTATATAGGTTTTTTAGTCAATCAATATGCCATTACCTTTTTTATCCTTAAATTTTCGGGCGACCCGCACTTTTACTTTTTCGACTTGCTCACCTCTTTTCTTTTCTGTTTCTTGAAAACCAATTTTGGTAGTTTTCTTTTTATCCTCCAATCAATAGGTCACATTTGAAATATGAATGGGGGTCATAATTTCTTTTAACTCACTTTTTTTCTTACTGTCCGGAGTAGATTTATCGTATTTTTTGCGACTAACTTTTTT